TCTGGCGGGAGGTCTATGGGAATGCACTTAGTCGCAGCTGTACAGTTCGGGTCATGGTGGCTACTGTATCCGCCGCCACTAGCTCCGAAAAGATGCTGTGGGACCTGAGAACTACTGATTGACAGTGCACATATAGGACAGAGGCGAGTAGCCTTCGGAATGCAAATCTCGCATGCCTTTTTCATGCATATCTTACACTCCCCAATTTTGCTGGGGTCAGGAATATCCCGATCACACATACGACAATTCCTGTCAGGAGGATCGGGACCACGCATGGTCGGTGGCTCAAGACCTGAAGGATCCTTCGGCCTTGTACCGTTGGGATCAAATCCTGGATAATATCCAGTTTCACGCTTATCCAGAGGCACGGGTTGCGTAGCCATCGGAGGGCTCTGAAGGTCAGCCGCGTTGGGTTGACCCCCAGTGGGAATGTCACGGAATCTGTCAACGGGTGGCCGCAGAGGCGGCGAGTACGACCGCGTCGGGTTCGTCTCAGGTGCGCCTCCAGGAGATCTATTCCTGACACGGTTACCACCGGGATCCCTTCTTCTCCTAGTTTCGTCCCTAAGGCACGCAAGACAACAGGGACCCTGAACAAATCCAAATCTCCTGTAGTCATCCTGCCCAGCAGAATGTCTGGTGCAGTAATAGGTCCTACAAAACTGACACTCAATTCCCTTGGTCAAGAACGAGCTCTCCCTACAGACACCGCATCGTGGCCCGTTGCGGGAACACTCTTCACACAAGTTCTCTTTAAACGAGAAACAATACTCACAAATCTCACCTCTGCATCCTTTGCAGTGAAACTCAGCCATGAGGTGATTGTTTCCATCGCCTACATATTTACACCTAGGTTTGTCAGTGTCGCCAGGATTTCCACCGGCAGCACTCTTCTTCCCCCCTCCTCCCGGGCTTTGCCGATCCGGAGGAGGAGGTGGTGGAGGATCATCATCAGGAGGGCCAGGCGGAGGTGGCCGCTTGTCCGGAGTATGGGAAGCAGCACGCCTTCCTCCTGTGCGATCGTTCAAACCACTACTTGATGCCTGATTCGAGTGCCTTGACTCGAGGGAGTTAATTCTTTGGGCCGTGTTACCTAGCACCTCGAGCATATGCTCGAGCTTACTGTTGAGCGTAGTCGAAACGGCCATGTTGTGAGTATTCTGCTTGTCCGTGTAGGACTTGCAGTCCCTTGACTTTATCTCAAGGTTGGCTTGTGTCTCATAAAGTTGGTCCTTAACCCACTTAATGCCGTCCCTATTAGTGGTCCAGCATTGTTCGACATCTCGCATCATCCTATCTATCTGACATACCTTAGTGGACAGGTCCTCGATTTTGAGGTTTACTCCACCAATCGCAGGATGGTTGGATCGGCTCTCCACTAGAGATCTCTCGATCGCATCAACACGAGCTATAAGCCCGGTTACTCGATCAGAAAGAGATTCAAAAACGGTCTGAACTTGAGTGATGGAGCGAGCGACATCATCATAGGTGGCTCGCTCAGTTAGGGCATCGCCTATGCTCACCATGCGATTAGAAACGATCTTGACGCGTTGGCCAAGCTCGGTCACTATGTCCTTAGTCCCCTGTGACAGCTGCATGGCCGCGTTCGCAGCCTGTGTACACGTGCTACTCACATGGACGCATTGGTCATATTTGGCCCTCCACGAGTTAACCTCAGTAGAGAGCTGTTTGATGCATTGATCACTTCTATCATTTCTACGCCCAAGGTCTTCGACCTTAGCGACCAGGCGATGAATGATCGCACTTACCGAAGAGTCCACTCTCCCTCTTTCAAGGGCATTGACAAGATCAGCAACCTCGTTGGGTTGCTCCTCATTCGCAGGACCGAGTCCTGATCCGCGATCTCGAGGAGTGGACAAATCAACCATGATCGGATTAGATTTCGGAGGTGTCCTATAACCATCTTGTACGGCCGTTGATGGCCGTGGGAATTCGCTCCGATTAGGAGACTGACTCTGATACGGCGCAGATCTCCTGGCATCACGAACCGCTGATGGCTGTGGCATGCCTAGACCCTTTGTCACAAACAATTTGGGAACTACTGGCCTATCAGTTCGCATAGGAACTTCAGGCTTCATATCGGCAATGACAACGTCATGCAAATCAGTCGCATTGGACGCTCTAGACTCAGACATTGACTCAACATCGGTAGCATTGCTGGCGGTGTTGTTGTGATTGGAACTTGATGCCATCATAGACTCGGACTCGATCGGAACATCAGCTCCGTCCGTGTTGCCCATGGCGAAGAAGGAAGCCGCATTGGGCGTAGGGCGAACAGGCTGTACATTCGAGCCACTCGACCTATTTAATTCCTCCTGGAATGCTTCGATCCCATCAAGCACGTTGACCAACGTGTCCGCGTTTAGCGGATCCCTACCGACAATCGACGCTGGATCACCTGAGTGACCACGTCTTGAGCCCCGCACACTGGGGTTTCCCCTGTGAGCGGTCTCACGATCCATCCTTCTAGCCCTATGCGAGCTGGCCGAATCTGACCTAGACCGTTTGCTCGGCGTAGGACTGGGATGCAAATCCAATCTATCTACAATGTTTCGCTCCCTCGGACTCTCAAATCCTGAAAGTCCTGGGGGAGGGGACATATTCCTCATCGTCGGGTTTACCGATGGCCTTGGCCTGACATTGCGGTCGGCCACATCAGGATTGAGATTTTCAATGGACAAAGGTAGCATGGACTCCTCGCTCCCAGCAGCCCGTTTCGGGCTCTGGAACTGCGGGAAAGAAGATGGGGCGGGTGGCCCTGGCATCCATGTAGCGAAATCCATGCCAAAAATATTACCGTCGTTGGGCCATGAGGCCATCCAATCTGACCTACCGATATCGGCTGGCAGGTGAACATCAAATGCAACTCCACTGGATGTACCAGGTTCGGGATTACCGATTGCTTGAAAAACTATGCTGCTGGTTGGCACAGGTCTACTGCCACTTCGAGAGTCACGAAACTCGGACTGACCAATATTCATCAGCTCCGGGAAAGATGAGGATTGAGCTCCAGGTGCAATACCGGGCTCGTCATCATCACGTCCTGAGACGGAATCATCATGGTCAGGACGATTAGCCCCATGACCCTGAGAGCGATTAGCTCTTGAGGCATTAGACGATAGGTCATCAGTGCGAGTAGCACTGGACCTTCCTGAAGGCATTGCTTCGGAAAAAGTGTGGTCCGACAAAAGTCAGGACCGGAAAACATCGGCTGTCCGGGCACTTGGTCGTCATTCACAACGTCCAAGATTCCGGCCTGGCCGAGAACCCATTCATCGGTTACCACATGAGGTCCATCCTCAGTGATTCCCGCCATGAAACCTACAGAGACCTACGGTACCTGCAGGGTTGTTATTAAAAGGGGTTCGCGGTGCCAACCGAGGACGAATCCTACGGCTGATAACCTGCGAAAGGGTTTGAAACAGTATTTCGGGAGAGAATAAACAGGCCCAATCCCACCAACAAGAAGAGATTGTTTAAGTCCCCCAGTCCCAAGGGCAAAGCGGTGCCCCCGGCTGGCACGAACAACGAACCAAAACAGGGTGCCTTTAACCAAAAGATGAATGAGCCCAGCAAGGGCAGAGACAACCGATAGCAAGCACAAAGCAGCAAACCAAGCAGGCAAACAATGCAGCGAAGCAAGCAAAGCAAACCAATAGCACAACCCCAACCAGATCCCCCGACCAACCTCCACCGGAAACACCACCACAGACGCTCGGCGGCGGCCCACTTTGCCGCGGACGAGCGTGATGTGCCGCGATGCGCGGTGACGAAATTGCAAGGGCAGGTTGCCGGATTGAAAAGCTTGAGCCAAACGGCGCGTTGGCCGTGGCAATGAAATATGCTTGATAAAAGTACATGCCCCCAAAAACATATTTAAAATGATGTATGAAAGAAGTACATAATATAGAATGTTGTCTCATCATCAGTTAAATTAGTATCCTGAGCTTAAATTATAACCATACTATAATAATAACTTGTAAAATATTATATGTTAAAATTATAGCGAACTGTTAACCTATAAACATTTCATTAAATAACAAACCACAAGACCCGCCCAAAAGCCAACCCGTGAAACCACAGAAAGTCCTAACCTCTTTCAATCAACAAAACTAAAGTTTGACAACCGGAACGAAACAGGGGACCAAATAACCAATTCGTTACCACATTCATATCGTTATTTCTTGACCATCTTGACCCCAAAATCAGCCTCTAAAAAACGAAGAAGATAGAGCACGTGTTGAAAAGTGAAATAAAAAACAGAACAGGCAACCTTCAACCCCTAACCCCCCAAAATCTGCATTTTCTACATTCCCCCCCCCCCGTGCCCAGTGACACTTCCTTGGACACGGTGAGGACTCGGTTGAAGAGCGGCACGCTTGCCACCTTTCGAGACCTCCTCTGGTTGGCCTGGCCCCGCCCGCCACGCATGCGAGACGGCGTGACGGCGTGACGCTTCGAAGCGCTCGCTCGGTGCCTCCCAGGGCGGCGAATCCTTGGGCCTCTGGTAGTAGGTGCTGCCTCACCGAGAAAGGGGCCAAGAAACCCAATGCCTCCTTGAAAACCTATGGCTACAGTCTGGCTCATTTGCAAACAATTGCAAACAAAGGGCCGCTCGTCAAGAAGCACATCCTTGGCTTGACTGCGCTTGCGAGTCTCACGTTGGAAGGCTTCAGCAAGCTGGAGCGTGAAGCTTGCAGCCGTGCTTCGCATGTGACTCCCCATTCACTTGGAACAACACGTCTGACCTAGACAAATGGATCTTGTCCACAGCCTGAGCAGCGGGTGAGCCAGGGCCAAAAAAACACAGCGGCTGGTGCAAACTCAGCGCCTTGAAGCAGATTTGATTGATTGCCTGGGTCAAAAGGCCAGGAGCGGCCATTTAGGGTTGCGCAACGCTTTTCAGCCGAGATGCGGCATCATTCTGAGCATACTTCACGAAAAAGCTGTGCACCACCAGATGCGGCAAGTAGAGCTCCTCACCGCTTGAGCTCTTGACATCTCTTCAGCTCCACCCGGCAAAGCAACGCCTTCTGCAGCTCTACTCGCAGCGGGCCGCTGAGCATGTTGAGCGACTGCACGCGGCTCTTGTCAATCTTTTTCCGATTCACCTGAGCGCGGGAGACGCTGGGTTGCGAAAGGGGAATTGCCACCACCTTCTAATCGGCTACCACTCTTGGCGCCCGGAAAACTGAAGTGTTTTACAGCTTCAATGGACCGCCATTGCCTCCGTGGCCATGTCGATGTAGCGAACCACCCTCGACCTGAGCTTGGGAAGCAGCGTAAATCGAACGGAGGAGCCACAGGCTCCGCACTGCAGGTCTGCCGAGATCCGGTTCTCCTTGAGGAACCTGCCCCAGCGCCCACCGAGGCGGCAGCACGCCCAACCGAGTTCCCAGCCTCCGAAGAAGGAAGGCCTCTGAGAGCTCATTGCCCTGCAGACTTCGCAATCTCGTCATGGATGCCGTGATGGAACCTTCGCACACTTGCTTTTCATCAAACAAACGCCCCCTGAGTAAGGTAAGCACTTACAAAGGAGGAGAAGCCGACCATCGCAATCAAAATCAACAAGACCTTGGTACAAAGCTGGAAAGACGGCCACGAGCGGCCAAGAGCGGCCAAGAACAAAGGGCACCCTGGCATTCGAGCTGAGGTGGCAGCATTGAATGCTCGTTCCCCAACATTGCGGGGATGAACCTCTATTCCTGTTCGGCTGACCATGCTGACATACTTGAACACGACTGCCCCTGCCTGCGGGTGTGAATTGAGTAAGCGACCAGTGGAGACTGAGCATGTATCTCTCAAGGACGTCCAACTCCACAATCTTGTAGTAGAAGACCCAGTGATCATCTGGGACTCCTCCTGCCAAAGTGCACTAAACTATACTAAATTCATATCATTCGGACTGTCTGTTGGTCCTTCGCCAACAATGCCGATGAGGTACCACAAGCAGGCAAACACGTGGTTCACGAAGAGCAGCACCAGCCTCGGCAGCCATATTATGTGTCCACTACCTACTGGCAGGGGATTGAACTCCACAGCAAACGCAGCGCCACGCTCGGGTGTCAAAACAGGAAGCAAATTCTTGATGGTTCCCACGAGGATGAACACCACCTCAGAATCGATACCTCAGCACAGCACTGATATTGCATGAATGGGCTTTGCGTACGCCTTTTACGGCCTCCGGAACAAAGCCTCTTAGGCCAACACGCTCTTGAATGGCGAAAAAGATGTGCCTCGGGCGCCAAGCTTGAACATATTCATCTATCTGATTCAGGCCACTGCCGCAACTTCATCAGCCGTAGAAGGCGGAATGTTCGCAGGATGCGTGCGACGCGGATGACCTGTCATGGCAGCTGTGCCCATGGCATCCATAAACTTCCCTCGGCCCGCCTTGCCAAGCCGTGCAAGGCCAGAGCCTTCACTCTCCATGGGCACTCCGTCGATGGTCCCTGCTGGTCCTGAAAAACATTTCAGCTGTCAGCTATGTCGGCTATAGCTGTCAATGGCGTTCACTTTACCCGTCGCACCCTCAGGCCCTCAGACCCCGTCGAGCTCCTAAGGTGGTTGCCATGAAGGCCCAGTCCACTGACACGATCATAATGTCCAGCAGAAACCATCGCTTCCTCATGTGCAAAACATGCCGAGATGTGATCTCGCAGCAGGCAGCCAAGCACCTTCGATTATATAGCCGTCCAAGAAATGATGCAGACCAAGCGTCAGGTAGTGCAAAGCAATTCGCTTGTGATCCCGAATCACCTCTCCTTTGCTCGAGTGAAACGCTGTGAAGAAGGTGCCGATGATATCCAGGGACCAGTAGAGGGCGACAGTAAAGTCAATGCTGTCGGTGACAATGTGCGGCTCCGGTGAGAACACTTGCCTTGCACACTTCAGTGAAGCTTCATGCATTGCTGGCATACCAAAGCTGGCTTCAAGGCTCAGCATGCCCAACAGCAAAGCAAGCAACAGTGAACACAATGAATTAGCAATGTCATGCCAATCCAAGCTGCATGGGAATCCATGTCCTCAGCACATTTCGTATGAGCTTCGCAAGCTGATGCTGCATGCTTGTTGGGTAGTTTTAAGCAAGTTGCATGTCGTACATGAGGAATACCACTCCAAGAATATCCTCAGGTGTTCAGGCGCCAACTGTGTGCCCAGTCTTGACTGGGCCGGACACAAAGGGCGGGCAGGGTTGGGGTAGTGGATAAAACAAAAACAACTGAGGATCAGGGGGTCCAACAAATCATCTGTCGAACTTTGTGTGCACGGCGGCTTTCACGTGGCTTGGTGCTGCTGGATCAGTCACTTTGTAGATTCAAGTGCTGCCTGTTTGGGCCTTATAAACCAACAGATGCCGTCAAGTGGGAGCACAAGCGGGCACACCTTTTTCATCCTCCACGCAATGGTAACATGGGAGACACCCCGAAAGCTTCAACACCCCCCTCTGCGTGCAAAAGGGGCTGTTCACAAAAGAGCCAAATGGGGGTCAGGACAATTTTGCATTCTTTGAATGCAAATTGCCCATGCGATTGATAGTTGAGATGGTTGACAATTGAAAAACCGATCATCCGTGAGGATGTCGTGAACGCGCTGCAATTTTGCAACTTTTAGCGCTGGAAGTACCAGCGTGTGGATCGGCCGCTTCTGTCGATCCAGCCCTGATTGATTCAGCGTTCGCTGCCGTCTTTGCGGGATGCGTGAGGCTGCTGCTGCTGTTGCCACTGCCTTGCGCTGCTTGCGTTGAAGCTTGGCCACAGGGCGGATGGGGTGGTTCCGCTGGGCGTAGATGGAAAGCGGGAACCACCTTGGCTTTGGCAACTTGTTCCTGCTTGTTCTTCAACAGCTTCTTGTCGGACTGCTCAGCGGGCCTAAGAGCTGATTGTTCGTCGTAGTAGGCGACACGATTCAACATCAATCTGGGCCATCTTGTGCCAAGTGCTGATGCAAGGGACGAATTTGGCCAGCTCTTCAAAAGATAACGGCCTTCCCTGATGAGTGCGACACACGCGACGCGTTCCCTGGAAAGGCACGCAGGGCCTACTCCAATTGAACGCCGCGCCACGTCTGCGTTGGAGCAATCACAAGATTGCTGAGGAGCGCAAGCGAACCATGCGGTTGAAAGTTCTGTCGGCCTCACTCATCCGCGTCGTAGCGGTCGAGGATACCGCGGTACTGGCAGACTTCTCCTTTCATTGTCAAAGGCAGGCCCTATGCATCGTTGGGACATGCCAGTGTCAGCGTGGCCTTTCAAAGTCAAAGCAGCGCAAGGCCAAGAGGGCTGGCTCGCAGACCACGTGGGGACGATTCTATCGCAGCGCAGTGGTTCATCTATCCAAATGGTGATCCCGCCGGCATCATAACGATAGCCGGCAAACTTGCGCCCGTCCGGTGGTAGCGGTCGGGGATTTTGCTGCAGGTCGGGGTCGACCTGGCGCTGGGTGTGGGACAAGCTCCTGCGAGTCGCTTGTGGAATAAATTCAGCTTTGGAAATGGCCCGCAACATGGTCTCTCAGGTGCGAATCCTCGTTGCTGGACTGCTTCAGCGCCGGCAAGGCTGGCTCCGGGCTTTGCCGCTCGCATGTGGACGTCGCTGACCTTGCGCTTGTCGATGGTTTCCCCGCGCAGCAGCATAGCCTCCACGTTAACGTTCGCTCGCTGGGTCTGCGTGGCTTCATAATAAGCATTGGTCTCCAGCGAAGAAGTCGCGTGGCTATGCGTGGATTCTCTTTACCTCTTCAGTGCGGCTCATGGCTGGGGGCATGAGCTGGGCGAGGTTGTCCGTGCGCCATTCCGCGAAAATACTGCAGAGTCTTGGTGACGTTGTCGTCGCTGTAGGCCGTATGATAACGGTCAAGAAGGCCTTTGACGAAAACCAACATCTGACTGGTCGAAATCCTGACTTGCTTCACGAACGCGTCCCAGATGATCAGCAGGCGCAGTTCTCCCCATAGTCGCCACTGACCACCCTTTCATTTGGCAAACGGGGCCAACATCTTTGCCCGTTGACACGTCTTGCAAACTTGGGGTAATGTGCAAGCATGCGCTCCTTGGCGCGAGCCTCAGCGATGGGGTCTTGCAGGGTCGGAAATCCGATCGATCTCGTCTTCAGGATCGTCACCTCCGGGTCACTCCTAGGCCCGGGCATTGCATCATTCCGCTTGGCAACGGGAGTGAGCAAGATACGGAACATGGCCAACAGCGCAGCAGGTGAGTCGTCCAACGCATTGACGTGCATGAACATCTGCGATTTCACGGGCTTCGGTCGGGCCCATTTTCGGTCATCAGGCCAACTCGGACGAACTCCTACGCCGCAGTGGCTAATCAGGGCTCCCTGCAGCGGAGGATTAGAAAGACGCCAATGCGCTCGTTACACGGCAGGCAAGAGATTGTGTCAACTGGCAGCTTGGCTGGGCACATTGCGTTGCATTCACGGTCCCCGCGCTCGCGCGACAGAAGGGCTTGGCGAACATGGCATACTTCATGCGCACAGCCGCAGGCTTTTTGCCTTTGGCGTTCTCTGCTGGACGCCGCGGCTGCGGCGTTTGCACTTATCCCCCGCAAGCGCGCTTACCCTGTTGATGGCCCATGGCGCTTGGGATTTCTCAGCCCTCCCCGCCATTGGCGAGCTGGTCCTTGTCTTTCCCTTTCCTTCAGGGGACCTTCCGCGCTGCTCCTTGGGACCCTTGGTGCTTTCGCCCTCAGACAGATTTCGTCATCTTGATCCTTTTCAGTCTTAGATGCTCTTCTTGTCGCGGTTCTTGGGCGCTGGGGCGCCTGCTTTAAGATTGGGGGCCTTATTGCGGCGGAGCTTGGACACACGTTCGCGAAACCTGTCACGTTCATGCTTCTCATGAGGAAGTCGTAGGACTTCGCGGGCTCATCGTTGCGGCTTCGATCATCATCGTCTATGTCGTATCGAACAGATGGCGTGCCCTGGCCTGACGCAGGAGGACGTCCTTGAGGACGTTTTCCTTGGGGATGTTTCATCCCCGCGATCACGGGGCCGCTTGTCTCGCCATGGCGACAGCCAGTGCAGATTCCCTGCTTCCCCGCTTGTCTTGGAGTACTGGTCAAACATGAGCAGCACTTGCCTGCCACGCGTGGCTTTGTGCGTCTTTGCACTCTCCTCCTTGGCGATGAGCCTCCTGTCTTTTTCGGGGCGCGCGAGCGCTGCGAGAATCTTGGTGTCCAGTGCGATGATCTTCCTGGGGTCCGCGAGCGCTGCGAAGCCTTGTTCTCGCGATCATACCAGACTTCCATGATCCATATCCATGCTTCATCGGGCCGACCGTTGGCTGCACGAATGTCTTCCCTACCGAAGGTTTTCCACTCACAGTAGGTCTCCGGCGTTGGCTTGTTTGAATCTTGACGTCTCCGACTCCCTTGCTTCGGGCTTCTCATCATTGGTGTGGCCATAAACATACTTCATAAGCATTTTGGCAAGCTCGGCGCTGCGCCGCCTCCATCACTTTCCCCTTGCGGAGGGTGTGACAGCCTTGGCATTTCATTTTAGCAGATTGGCAAGGCTGGCGCACAGACTTGTCCACAGGTTTGGCGGTCACTAACCCTTACCATGCGCAGACCCTTCTCGGTTCACACCAGGGGTGTGCTCAGATCCACGTTCATAGCCGTCGTCGGATGTCACTAGTGCCTTCACCTAAAGTTGGCGCGCTGGAGGGGCTGTGAGAATGGTCTGTTCTGACCATGCGGATTTCGCTTGCCGGTCCGTCTCTCCTCGCAGAGTTCGTATTCCAGCATTCGGTCGTTGAGTTCCTCCACTTCTTCCTGCATGCAGGATTGCATTTTGGGCGGCCATGCTGTCGACGACGCTGGATTTCTTTGCTTCGATGTTGCGCACATCTGCGCGAAGTGCTTCTCGGGTTGCTCTCCTGCAACTTGCACGCGGCTCGTGTCATTTCTTCCTTATTTTTGTGGTTAGGTCTAGCGTCAGCCATCGCTCCTCGTGCAGCGCATGTTAGTCACGAACATTTTGGCCTGCGCACTAAGGCATTCACTGTAGCGCGTATGCGGTGCGTGCTGTGCGGCGCGTTCCTCTCGGTTCTCCGCTTGCAGGCGCGTCACTGCGGCCGGGCGCTTCGGCTTCGGATCGGATCGGATCATTCCCGAAGGCAAGCACTGCTGTGTTGAACTGCTGAGGCTCTGGGTTTTGCTCTGGGTAGGTTTAGTAACCTCAGGCTGGGCTCAGGGCTTGTGGAGGGTGCTGTTCACGGGTTGGCCGCAAAGGATAGGGTTGAATTGTGACGGGTGTCGCGTAAGTAGCATTAGCCTGGGTCTGGGTTTGAGGTGATGGGCAAGGGGAGGTGCACCTCTGCCAAGGTTCTTGCCATCAGAAATCGAATAGTGCGCATGGATAGCCGAGGGGCTCAAAGCAATGACTTCAATTTAACGCGTGCCATCCTTCCGAACCGAAACGAGTGCGCTCCTCTTTTTTTGCAAAAAAACATCTGCGGCGACTGCAGGCGAGTGGCCCACACCATGCGCTGTGGCGAGATCGGGCTTATCACCAGATCTGAGAACGCACAGCTGCCTGAGCTGAGGGCCAATGGCTGATGATTCAACAGCGCAACAGCGCAAAAGACTTCGCGAGGAAAAAATGGTCCAGACATTTGAGCCGTGCGCATTTTCTGCCCGTGCGTACAAGATTTGAAGAGTACGAGGCTGACAAGTCCTTGGCGAGAGGAATGCTGCTGGCCGCCAATGTGGATCAGGTTCCCTCTGCGGCCTTTTGCACCAGTGGCACACAGCAACACGTCTGAGGCCAGGCACCGGCTTGAGTTTGAGGGTCTTGTCTGTCAGCATGAATTGCCTCACGGGCGAGCGGCTTGAAGCTGAACGGTGATTTTTGAGCTGGTGCTACCTGTACTTGGTGTACTGCTCTTGTACTGAAAGGCTGCCCTGCTAGATTCAGGGAGCTGCTCCGAAAGAGCCGCAAACCGCGAAAGGAAACAAGCGAATCGCGCAAAGCCTTCGCACGCGAACACGGAAATGCAATTCTGGTAGTCAGCGCCTCTTCTTGCGCGCCTGCCCTTTCGCAGAGCTTTCGCAAACCAACCTTTTGAGAACACTTTCGCGAGCCGGGAGCTTTCGCGATGCATTCGCCAAAGCAATTTCGGACACCGTTCGCAGCAAGATCGCGAGTTCTCGTTTGGGCGTTGCTCCCAGGATAATCTTTGTCAAGGTGCCCCTCGGAGAAAAAGTCCGTGGCATGGCGGGCAAGTGCCGGGCCCGTGCTGCCGAATGCCTCTGGTAGTGTCCACTCTGGCCACAGGGGGAACTTCTCCACTTCCTGGCCGAGCGGACGCAAGCGACTCGGCCGAAGGCCTCGGTCGAACTCAGCGAATCAGCGACTCAGGCAGTCGCGTGGCTAAGGGGCGTCTCATCATCCTGCATATCCAAGTCATCCAAGTCTCGCGATCGCGGCAGAAAATTGGAAGGCCTCCTCCTGCAGGCTGCTTTCCTGCTCTCGCTCCTGCTTCTGGAGAGCCCGTCGCAAATTCAAGACCTGCGCCAAAGGTCAACACTTGTGACTTTCAGACTTGGAGTGACAGCGCCTCAGAGTTCAACAGCTGAACCTGCCGGCTAGTTGAAATCGTTGAAATCAAGGAGCAAGCCACCGAAGGTGGCCGGCCTGGCTCTCATGGACGTCCTGCAGCCTCTTCATGGCTGTTGCAAACTCCGAGGTGGCCGTGGAGCTGGTCCGATTCCCTTGTGGCCGAAGCACCAGCGAGCGTGAGGGCAATGCAGGGCAATGCAGGGCAATGCAGGGCACTAAGGGTTCGGCTTCGCAAGGCGCTTGTGGTCCTAAGGCAGCTCCCCTTTAAACTTTGCAACTTGCACTTTTGCTTTTGCAGCTTCGGTGCGATCTCCCCAATGGAGATCGCGTGCTGGGCCTGACGCAAAAATCGTGAACATGTTCTGGCACATGCGGTGATACGGCAAACGTGCCAGTTGAGGTTGTGGCTCGTCGCACATCGCGTCCTTAGACTGCTGCATGAGCCTTGGCAAGCTGTAGGTGTGCCACATGCCTAGGGGATTGATCCGTGCTCCCTGGCCTCTCCACTTGAGAGGCTGTCCTAGATTGACATCCTACATGAGCCAAAAGCTGCGTGCCTGTTGAGGCCATGCATGTCAACTCCAGAGCAAGTGGGCGGGGGAACATGTCACGAGGGCAAACAGCAAACACGTAGCAACAGCGTAACAGCGTGTGCTTGGCTCGCAGCCTGAATCCCTGAGCCTCCTCTGCTGCAGTGATGTCGCACAAGACATCCTCACGAGTTGATCACCCGAACCCCCCAGGGCCCCCAGGGCTACAAGGCCTGCAAGGCTCCCAAGGACTCGCGTTTCCCAAGGGTCAAGCCGCGCCCCTGACCCCTCCTCGTCGCCCGGCACGATGGGACGACATCCGGTGACGCTCGCCTCCGTCTGGGCCAACCCGGCACACCCGAATTTCTCTGTTTCTTTACCCTGAAACAAACATAAGTCAAAGGCATGTCAAAGCATGCAGCTTCTAAAACGGTCTCTGCAAGGCGTGCCACGTCAAGCTGGATGTCGGGAACTTCCAGCTGCAGGGCAGCGCGAGGGATAATGCCTCTCGAGACAGCCAGATCCAATTCGATCTGAAGCACGGGCATTCGGCAAGTGTTTGGCTTTGGCACTTTCGCTGCTTTTCTTCCAGTGACCCCATGTCGCCGCTGTCTGTTGCAAGGGCAAAGCTGTCACAAGGCCAAATTGGAACTCAGGTGACAGGTGCGACCCAATTGGAGACACAGCTTTGACTCGAAAAGCGCGCAGTCCAAAGAACAAGGAAGCTGTGTCCACCAACGCTAGCAGTGAGTCCAAAATTGTTTGTTCATCATTCAGGGCAGACATGTGCAGCAACAACTTTCACATTTCCAACAGAAACCGCAAAGCTTTGCATCACTGAATGGAGAAGTCCAGGGTTGTCAGCCCAGCTGCCCAAAAAAAATAAACGCAAAGCCGCCCAGATCAGAAGTAGTCCGTCCAGGCAGCAGTCAGACCCTCAACCAATTGGCTTGCCGTGCAAACGGGTTGGTTGCGAGCTGCGGGCATTGAATGCCGCAGCGAATCCGCAGCCATCAGCGGGTCACAAAAAGAACAAGCGAGAACGAGCATGCATGGTGTGCAGCCTCTGCCTGCCGTGGCCGGTTCGCAGGTTCGCGGGTCCCACATTCCGCGCAGCATTCTTTATGGAGACTTTGAACTCCTAGCGTCCCGGCCTTTCGCTGGCTGCAAGCAAAATGCGGAAAAAAAGCTTTCATTGTTGCGCCAGCTTTGTGCATTCTGCTGCTAGTACGATTCCACGAAATTGCAGCTTGTGCCTTCAAAGCTGCTTCAGAAACTCCCAAATGGCCCAATGAATGGTGCAGTGAGCTGTACGTCCGTACATCACACAGAGCCAGCGGGACCTAAGCAAGCCAAGAGAAATGTCCCATTCTCCGTCCCAATGGGTCTCTCAATGTCAAGTCTCCCGGTCCAATGCTGCCAAGGGAACTTTCCTGGGCTTTGTCCAAAGCTTTAAGCATAGCACGTCTCGGGTGCGGCCACGGCGCACGCGGCACATGCTGGCATCCGTGGCATACGCATGTCAAGCGAAACCAAACAAAACACCACCGAGGGATGCGCTTCTGCTTCTTGCGGCGCTTCAGCTCCCCAGGTGGGCAGAGATGGCCTTGACCCGAGCCAAACACCGATCCCGTGATGTGGAAGAAGAAACGTGAAGGCTCCAAGGCACGGACAAAAGGTGCAAGCTTCGTGCCATCTGCAGCCATCAGTCTTAGCGAAGAAATACGCGCATGGCTTGCAGTTGCCAGCGCGATGCTCCTGCCAAAGTTTGGGGCACTGTGACCCAAAGGGCCGACTGGCTTGACCCGAAGCCCCCAGTCCTGTGTCACACGCGCACACTGTCGCGAACACAGCCTTGCAGGTGCTGAAGCGGAACGTGTCCTGAATCAGCAACAGCCGCACACAGTGCCCGGACCGTTGGTTTAGGAAAAATCCAGGCGTGCAACCCGGGAGCCTTCTGCAAGGCGTTTTGTCGCCTTCAGCTTTGGTGTCCTTATCTCAGTGCATGTGAGTTCGTTCAACCTTGGCGCCGCACATGACGAGGCGCGTAATGAATGAACGTCCGTTTGACTGGTACGTGAAGATCGAAGCCCTGTGAGGCCTGCGGCGCGTCGGGCTTGCGCGTCCAAACATCCTGCGCCTCGGCCGCCTGGCCCGCTGCCTGGGCTGCTGCTGAGATCCTGGGACCAAAACATTCAGGCAAATACGTACACACGTGAAAACATATATGCAATATATATATATATATGTGCACATGATACAAGGCAAACCAATGGCGAGCACCCGGCGCTGTCTGACACTGGCTCTGGTACGGCCGCGCGTCAGAAGGCAATCTGGGCGCGACGCACGGATTTCAAAAAAGGCTGTGGTTGATGCAATGCTGAGAGTCCCACGGGCTCAACAGCAAGTCCAGCTCTGTGATTTGCCTGAAGCAAACGGCTACGGCTAGACGCACAGGCGCGAGACGCACACACGCTCTCACAACACTCAACACCCGCGCATCATGCGCACGCATAACACACCGCGCGCACACTCACGCCCTGCGGGGGGGCTCCTCAAAAGAAGGCTAGCAGTCCTTTTTCTCTCGCTCAGCATAAAGCCAGATTCAAAACTGGCAGGCACTTGCGGTTGATCAGGCCGCACATATCCCCACTGCGCACCAGCCGGCATTAACACAAACGGACAGACACGGACACAGACGCAGACACACACACAAACAGAGACACACGCGCAGACATAGACACACAAACGCAAACCCAGACGCGATATCCAGGCAGTGAACCTATTGCTGCAGTTGACGAACTTTCTGGATGAGGCAGGAGAGGCTCGTCGTCCACTCTTCCAACAAGCTGCGCGCATCTGCACGCCCACTCAGGGCGACCATGTTGTCAAAAATGACTTCTTGACTGTCAACTCACTCTGCAGTGAAGGACGCATGGACATGTCACACTCAAACACGTAACGTTCGTTCAAGGTCAAAGCGCAACCTGGGCAGCAGCAATGATGTCAATCGGAGGGTTCAACGTACGATTGTCCATTTGTGCACAACTTCCATCCCATATCCGCATCATTCATCTTGTGTGGGGAAAAAGGCCATGAAAACAGCTGAAGCAAAAACGAAGTATGAGTGAAGGTGCACAAATGTACTTGAGCCAGCGTGGCGTCCCAAAGGCAACGATACGTGAAACACCCATGAACAAGTACATGGAACAAATCGATGCACACTCGCGCCAACGGCTCCGCACTGAAACCACCAAGTCGGCAAAAAATCATCACAACCTGAAGTGCAGAACATGGACCAAGCCCTAACTGCGAATCAAGACGCAAGTTAATCGAGGCATCTTCACGATGGCCAGCGTTGATCGGAGCTTCCACCGCTACAAAGTTACATAGCGGAGGGAACGTCTATAGGACCAGTATGGTGTAAAACGTGCCATAATTGCTGAACAAGATCATGAACTGGTAGTTGCCCTAGTACGTTGGGAAGGCGGCCTTGGTGAGCTCGAATATCAATGCTCCAAGAACGGTGAGGAGGGGCGCCGCCCATGTCACAAAGAAAGACATAATGGGACGAGCCTTCTCCCAAGAGTACTTCTTGAGGATGCGCATGGAGATTGGAAGACGTTGGCTCGGAACGTGGCGGCATATAGCGCCGGTACCCGTCCAGCGCAGAGGGTCAGGTAGAGGAGAGTAGAGAAACTGGTAGGACAAATGATGCACACACGGGACGGAAAGTAGTGCTGGCGTAGTCACCCAGGATCGTAAGGGAGCGGCAGTAGTTGTCATCGAAGGACCTGTCCAAGACTGTGAATGAGGCAGTTGTGCGTCATGTTTGGAAAGGAGCAACCCGACACGAATCAGCAAGCCCTCGTCGACGGTCCTTACTACGTCCTCCGACTTCAGGGAATGTTCTTCTACCTCCACTTCATCAAGCACTGGAAGGAGATCTTGGGGACCTGGTTACATCAGAGGTTCCTTGCCCATCACATTTCGATCCTTTCGTCGCATCATTGATATCACGCGCTTTGCGCTGGAAGATCGCTTATTGTCTTAGAGACGCTGGCAATGCCGTCGGCCCCAGATGCAGGCTTTCCACATTGACGTTGACCTATCTTCAGACGAAATTTACGGCTCTTCGCCAAACGCTGGCACCTATCATCTACCATCTCATCATGTAGAAGGTGGTGAACTTTGGTCTTGAAGGGCTCAGTCATAAATGCTGTCAAGCGGAGTAGGTAGCAAAGCTGAACAGAAGGAAATGCCGCTGAAAGCAGTTCTCGCATGGTCTCAAAAGACGCGCCACTGTTGGACCTGAGACGGTAAAGTAGTTCAAATGCCCTATGTGCATTTGAACGTCCCGGTCAGCCTCTTGCGAAGCGAAAAGAGGCAGATGGATCCACAGTGTGTTGAGCTGGGGCTTGAGCATGTCGAGCTAATTGCTTTCCAATGACCAAATGAGACAATCTGGCTGATGTACTTGAGAAGGAATGGCACAAAGCACCCAGCTAGTAATGACAAGCGGGTTCGTAGTAAGCTTGCTAGTGAAGAAGTCAAGAACTGGCATTTGCGCCAGCATGAATGTTTCCTGCTGAACACATCCCTTTCAGTGGCACCAACGTAGAACAGAACATGAGCTGGTGAGAGCCGAATGTAGACACAAAGTTGCTGAAAGTCAATCGGTTGTAGACACACAGTTCAGGTACCTGAGGCCGCATTCAAGAAATGCGCCGTCTCGAAGAACTCGAGTATGTAAGGACAGTCCTGGAGAACCAGTCGCTCAAGAAGACAAACCACACAGCTTGGCCTTGTAGTGTTGATGTCAATGCGCGGTTGGATTGCAATTGTGGGAACCCGGAAAAGGTCCAGAGTCGGATACTGGAAGTAAAGCCCGCACCAACGTCAACCCAAAGATACAAGCTCAACATGCGCCAAATGTGTCACACATGAAATTTCATGAGGTTCAGATTGAGGCAGCAGTGAACTAGGGAACGCAAATGTTAAGTCGTAATGAAGGCACATTGTTGCGGAAACAGCTTCCTCACACAAGCCGCAATGACGACATTCATACCACGTGGTGTAGAGCTGTAGGAACTACGCAACGGCACAAACAAGCAATGCAACAACAATGCAATCAGAAGCAGGGCAATCAAACAACGCAGCTGAGATCTTTTCATAACCGTGATCTAGCATCTCAAGTTGCAAGGCAAGGTCTTGCGCTTGCCCGCTTTGGCCCCCAATTTGGTGACATATGCCGGTTCCACATCCCATTGACTGGCTGTCAGCGAATCAGCGATTCCCCTGGAATCTTCAAGCGAGCGAGCCGCCTTGACCTTCATGCGCTTGCGGCTCTGTCCCGAGACATGTTGCTGGCACCAGTTGGGAGCGGCTGCTGGTCCAGATGCCGTTGGGGCTTGTTTCTGGAACAGACGCAGAGATCAGACTGCTACAAGTAGAACTCTACGACTTCTTGAGAAGAAGATGCTTGAGCCGGGTCCGTGATGATGCGGCGACGTGGCTGCGGGCCTTTGAGCGAGGCAATGATCGAAGGCGACGAAGACAACTGCGATGAGGATGGGGGAGTAGTGTTGTACGATCGTCCATCCTTGGCAGCGGCGCTGACAGTTAAGGAATCAAGGAAGAGTATTATTAGCATGGCGGGTTCTCCGTGTGGACCAGAAAAGGTAGTGACCTTAGTGGTTTGCTCATGCACGCAGGGGCCCCCAATTATGAGGGAAGCATGCGCTGGAATCAAGCTAGACGTTTTTTCTGACGCGGGTGGCAAGTTCAGCATGAAGCAACTGATGATTGCGTCGCAGTTTGTGGAAATGAGATAGCGGTGTCTCCGGCAGGGTTGGTGTTGGCATGGATCTCCGCCAAAAAGGGTGAGGACCTTCCTGGCCAAATGTTCGTGCGCTGGAGTTCGTTGCTTGCTTCCCCGACCTTGGCGCTGTTTGCGCCCAATGCTCCTGCACCTCCAGGCACTCCTGTGCCACAAGGTCAGTCTGTGTTCCGAGACAAGCAGGCAGTGCGTAGTTTGACTCCGTCAGAACAAGCGGCGTCAACGCCTGATACGAGGGAAATTGGCACTGCGGACTTGCAACTGAAGAACGTCAGGCAACTGAATTCAGGTCATCCACAAAGGACTTAGTAACTGGCTTTGACGGAGGCTTTTGGTTGACGTTGGAAGGGAAGCAAAAATTTATATTTTAGCAGTTAAGTGGGAATTTCCCACTAAACCACAATAAGCCAAAATGTAAAGTGTTTCCCAACGACAACCATGGAGGTTCGTGACATGGGAAGGATTCAGAGCTCGTGCAGAAGCGCTACTCTGGGGAACTACCTCCAAACTGAGGTGGCGGAGGAGGAGGCATCATGTTGATGGAGCTGTGGAACGGCCATGCGGGATCGTTCACGTAACCCATTATGCCAAGATCATATCTGAGATCACGTGGTGGATCCCGAGCCGACCGGCTCGGCGGAGACGAGCAGAGCGATGACGGGATCGAGATCGTTCACGGCCATCACGCCGGGGCATGACGAGTACCACTTTCAAAGACTAATCACAGACGTTGCAGAGCACCCGGTCAAATGCAAACTTAGACCAAGCACAACAAGTCAAGCAAATCAAGAGAAAATTCAATCATGCCAACTCAACCAATCACAACACCAACTTCATCACGCGCGTCACACGTGCAAGTCGGCATGTCCGCAGAGGATGTAGACGAGCAAGAAGCTCGAGTCTCTTTTTTGTGGTTCACTTTATAATCTGAGGTGAACGCATCATCCACAAAGTTTTGAATAACGAGCCTGCAAGCACCTGCGTTCACTGAAAACGCCAAAGGCGTCCCGGGGTCGCACAATGGGAAAGCCCGAGGGTCCCGCGAGTAGGGTGTAACACACGTAAATTTCTCCCGCGGAGTAAATCGTCCGAGTGAGGCGGCCGAGCGGAGGCTTCCCTCTGGCTACAGCGGCTTGGGGAGGGGACCAAATGCAAAAGGACTTTCGGAAACATCGCAACTGTTGACGATGCCAACGGCTATGACCACGTCATCCAGGTGCACATCTTGCAGGTACAGGTGTCCACGTCTGGACGCCCTTCCCACCCTTGGCAATAGCTTCGTTGCGTGCAGTATGCTGCGCGCCCCTGCACAAATCAACGGTGGCTCCTGGGTAGATCAGGAACTCCGCACACACACATACACACATACACACATACACACAGACACGCACACGCGCACACGCGCATGACAGCTCACATCTCTCTCACACCCACACACACACTCACACTTTGCATCTCCATTGCTTGACGCTGCGCCTCTCGAATGTCCCATAGCGAAGCTCTGGAGACGGAGTGCGGAGTGCGGCCCGAGCCCTCAAACAACTTGGCTCGGCATCTCATTGCACGAGTCCGCCTCAACCCGTCTGAGAGCCATGCGCCACAAACTCCTGCGATACTTCCTGCTCAATGTTTGGCACACTGCATCTGTGCACGCTCACAGTTGCCCGCCTGACTTCCTGTTGCACGCTCACAGCTACCTGCTCCTGTCAGTCTCTCGCGCCAGAAGTCACCCGTGCAGCCAGCCCCAAGCTCTCCTTTGCCAGGTGCCTGCCCCATGTTCAAGTACACCTAAGCGGATTAGCGTCCGGCTGCCACATTCCACATGCATCCACATGTCATATCCCCTGGCCCGGCTCGGCGCTGGGCAAAGTCTTGAAGCCTCACATCCAAACACTCGGGACCGACTCAAACCAAAGCTGTGCTCTCACGAAAGCGGCGGCAAAACTCTGCCAGGAAACTCTGGGTTGTACGGAAATGCCCCAGTGGCCAGCTCATTTCCGGGCAAGGAAACGTACCTCCAAAGCAACCAAATGGTGTGGCACATTTCTGCCTCCTACGTGCCTAGAAGATGAGCTTGTGAATGGCCTAGCTTTAGAGGATAAAGGCGTCCGCCTGCGCGCTTGCAAAGCATGCGCAGCAGAGCAGCCTGTAACATTCGTAGCAATGCTCAAGCGGCCTGGCTGGCAGTTCGGAGCAGGATGGTGTCGCCGATGCTGCGGTGCTCGGATTCACCGTGGTGGGCGTGCTGGCTTCACCTGGATACTGCAACTTCTTCAAGCGATGGGACGCCCCTCAAAATCCAAAGTGCCGCGCTTGAGAACGATGTCTGCCCGAGAGTCCACCAAGCATTCTCCGTGTTGTGGGCCTTGCACAGAACTGAGGCAACTGCACGCATGCGTTTGTCAGATGCGCTGCGGCCAGAGCTGCTGCGAACATCCCATTTGGAAAACGCGGACTCGGGCCAACTGATAGCGACGGAACGGACTGCGCGGGTGCCCGAGGCCCTTCACTGATTTGGACGACTCCTAAGCGAGTCTCAAACGAAGGCCCGCCTCACCAACGTTCACAGCCCCCCCCCCCCAATGCCAAATGCCGCAAGCGCAAGCGTCTGAGTGCTGCAAGCGCCTGGGTCCGTGCAAGCGGTCAGGAACCAAAGAGCCACAGTTGACATCAGCATGATGGCCGTGAGCACTGGAATCCAGGGGCTGACCTTGGAAAGCTCTTCAGATCCAAAGGCTGGGGCGGCTGGGGCGGCTGGGGATGCCGCATCCCAAAGGTATCGCCTCAGCAGGTAAAAAGTGGAATCTCTCCACGCTTCCGCGCCCGTGCCGTTGAAGCCCCGGAACGCTCGAATGGGCCATTCGAATGGGCCCCACGCGCGCACACGGAGAAGTAGAAAAGCGAGGGCCTGGATTGCCAGATCTGATCCCTGGATATGACCGGATATCCATGTCCCGAGCTGAGGCTTGAGCACAAGCAAGCTACAGAAGGTGCAAAGCTGGAAGTGATAGTCCATGTCCGGACCAGCAATGCACCTCAACGTCAGGGCGGAAGAGATCAAGCGACACGCTGCAAGATGTCCCTGACGAGCCAAAGGTGATGCCCAGCAATGGCCCAGCCATGGCCTATGCCTGGCCTGCCACCACAGAAGAAGCGGTTCCGTCCGCCCAGGTCTTGCCAAACCTGGCCAAAGTCTTCCTCGCCCACGCCTTCTCGCCTTCTCGCCTTCTGACTCGGCATGCGATTTCTTGCGTCTTCAATAATCTTCATGCCTCGTAGACCCGGTGGCTTGGCGGATCCTGCGCTCAAGAACTTCCCAGTCTCAGTCTTCAGCTCAAGGCCGCGGCCGGGAGCAGCGTTGGCACCCGCGCCCTGCGCATCCGAAGACAAGCAACCGGGGATGGACGAAATCCTCTTGGGCAACGCCTAAGAAACCATGGAATGATGATTCCCTGGTAAATCCACAGAACCCCAAGGCATCCGAGACGCGCGCTGAGTCTGTGGGCCTCCGGAGAACCCCACAGTCAGCCGCGCCCTTGTGACAGCTACGCTGAGGACCCGGCGCTCCGGCAACTCCATCTCCATGGTCACCGGCTGTTCACTGTGTGTTGTAACATGCATGCCGTCATATGCCTATGAGTCATATGCCGTGCAGTTGGAACATGTCTTTCTTTCAGCATGCCAGCTGAACGGGCTGTCGTCAGGAGAATTGTCACATCACGAACAGCTGCATGCCTGGTATTGCTTTGGCTACCTGATTCTTGCGTGGCTTGCACCCCAGCCCTACCATGCCACATTCACTTGGGGCGCCCCTGCAGACTGAAGCAAACTGCCTGCCATCATGCCTCCGGTCCTAACACGATTCTCAAGGAATCCAACATGGCCAAACCTAGCAGTGCTTTTGCCGCAAAGCTCCCAGCACTTGAAGCACTTGGCCAACTTGGCCCGCTTGCCCAGCTTCGGGGCTCACTTGGGCGATGCGACCAAGTTGCCCTGCACAGAGCGCTCACCGACCCGGCCGTGGAGCGTCGCCCCCATTGTCCAGCCTTCCAGTGCAGCATGTCCTTCCAAAGCGCCCGCGGCACCTTAGCTCAGGCATCGCAACAAATCCAACAAATGAATTAACGATGGAGTGCACCGCAGTCCACTCTTGGACGGAAGGCAATTGCACCTCAGGGAGCCCCAAGTCAACACAGCTGCCCCAAATAGCTCGAGCCTCATCTTCCTTAAACCAGGCTGCCGAAGCAAAGATCCTGGCGGCAAACGCTAACATTCAGTGAGCATCGAGACAGCCGGGTCCCGTATCCCAGCGCATCCAGGAACTCCAAGATTTGGAAAGGGTCCTCGCAATCTGGCGTTCCTCCCGAACAAGAAATCCAGATGCGCGCTCCTCACCTTTGGCGAGGTCTTTGAGCGGCCTCAATCAGCACCCGGCCAGCTGACAGCACAAATCTTCGAAGACGCCTCCACTCGAAGTAGATGACTTGGATGGCGCGCCGGCTGAGCCAGGCCTTCAGCCCGGCCAACGCCCCCAAAACCCAGAGATCTTCATCTGCCTGTGCGCTTCGCAGCACGCGCAGCTCCGCGCCCTCGGTGTCGATCTTCAGAAGGCACACCTCAGCCACAAACGCCGAACTGAGGCCGATGCTTGACGCCGGAAAATGTTTTCTTGGGGGAAACAGATATGACCCTGACCTTGGAAGCCCCGTAGCTCTGCAAGACCTGAAACGCGCCGGACTGCGTGGGCTCTGCGCTTGAAATGCTCGTGCCTGGTCCAACGATACCACGTGGACGGAGTGCCCCTGCGCCGTAGGATGCCATCTGCGCCGTGCACCGTGCGCTGTGCATAGCCTCATCGCAGCTGTGCGAGCTGCGGTTGCAGCCATCCAGGTCTTCCCGGCTCAGGACATAGCTGCCCTGCCGTGTTCCCTTAACAATCCTTCAGCCCCTGACCGCCTGACCGCCTGACCGCCTGACCGCCTGACCGCCTGACCGCCTGACCGCCTGACCGCCTGACCGCCCCACCGCCTCACCGCCTCGCCGACTGACCTCTAGAAAGAGTTCGTAGTTGCATAATGCGATTTTCCGCTTTCAAATGATTCGCGAGCGCTTGTGGCAGAGAAGCGTTGGCTCTGCCACGCTGAAGCTCGGCCTGTTTTGGCAGAGGCACCGGTCAGGCCGAAGCTTCACCATGCCTTCTGCTCCCTAAGTTGTAGCTTACTTCTCGGCTTCTGTGGCATCCCCGCCTTTCTCCTCTTCCTTTGCTGCTGGCTGCTCGGCCTTCTTCGCATCAGGCGCGCCCTTAGCTTCTTCTTTGGCCGCTGGCTGCTCGGCCTTCTTTGCATCAGGCGCGCCCTTAGCTTCTTCTTGGGCCGCTGGCTGCTCGGCCTTCTTTGCATCAGGCGCGCCCTTAGCTTCTTTTTTGGCCGATGGCTGCTCGGCCTTCTTTGCATCAGCTTTTGCTGCTGGCTGCTCGGCCTTCTTCGCATCAGGCGCGACCTTGGCTTTTTCTGACTTGGCCACTGGCTGCTCGGCCTTCTTTGCATCAGGCGCGCCCTTAGCTTCTTCTTTGGCCGCTGGCTGCTCGGCCTTCTTTGCATCAGCTTTTGCCGCTGGCTGCTCGGCCTTCTTTGCATCAGCTGTGCCCTTAGCGTCTTCTTTGGACGCTGGCTGCTCGGCCTTCTTTGCATCAGCTGTGACCTTAGCTTCTTCTTGGGCCGCTGGCTGCTCGGCCTTCTTTGCATCAGGCGCGCCCTTAGCTTCTTCTTTGGCCGCTGGCTGCTCGGCCTTCTTTGCATCAGCTTTTGCCGCTGGCTGCTCGGCCTTCTTTGCATCAGCTGTGCCCTTAGCGTCTTCTTTGGACGCTGGCTGCTCGGCCTTCTTTGCATCAGCTGTGACCTTAGCTTCTTCTTGGGCCGCTGGCTGCTCGGCCTTCTTTGCATCAGGCGCGCCCTTAGCTTCTTCTTTGGCCGCTGGCTGCTCGGCCTTCTTTGCATCAGCTGTGACAGCTTCTTCTTTGGCCGCTGGCTGCTCGGCCTTCTTTGCATCAGCTGTGACCTTAGCTCTTCTTTGGCCGCTGGCTGCTCGGCCTTCTTTGCATCAGCTGTGACCTTAGCTTCTTCTTTGGCCGCTGGCTGCTCGGCCTTCTTTGCATCAGCTTTGGCCGCTGGCTGCTCGGCCTTCTTTGCATCAGCTGTGACTCGGCCTTCTTTGCATCAGCTGTGACCTTAGCTTCTTCTTTGGCCGCTGGCTGCTCGGCCTTCTTTGCATCAGCTGTGACCTTAGCTTTTTCTGACTTGGCCACTGGCTGCTCGGCCTTCTTTGCATCAGCTGTGACCTTAGCTTCTTCTTTGGCCGCTGGCTGCTCGGCCTTCTTTGCATCAGCTGTGACCTTAGCTTCTTCTTTGGCCGCTGGCTGCTCGGCCTTCTTTGCATCAGCTGTGACCTTAGCTTCTTCTTTGGCCGCTGGCTGCTCGGCCTTCTTTGCATCAGCTGTGACCTTAGCTTCTTCTTTGGCCGCTGGCTGCTCGGCCTTCTTTGCATCAGCTGTGACCTTAGCTTCTTCTTTGGCCGCTGGCTGCTCGGCCTTCTTTGCATCAGCTGTGACCTTAGCTTCTTCTTTGGCCGCTGGCTGCTCGGCCTTCTTTGCATCAGCTGTGACCTTAGCTTCTTCTTTGGCCGCTGGCTGCTCGGCCTTCTTTGCATCAGCTGTGACCTTAGCTTCTTCTTTGGCCGCTGGCTGCTCGGCCTTCTTTGCATCAGCTTTTGCCGCTGGGTTGTTGGGGAAAACTTGCTTCAGCTTGGCAGACCCGGCTGAGGTCTCGGGCGGCTGTGGCGGCTCAAAAGCGTCAGGCACTGAGTGGGTCACCACAGCACCCTCGGCCGTGGCCTTTACATCCCCGTCCACCACAATGTTCACATCCAGAACTGGCTGCTCCAATCCAGTCTCACTCTCGTTCTGGCCGTCCAGCAGGTCCAACTCTACATAGATCACTTGGCTCTTTTCTTTCTCCTGGGCGGCAAATATGTTCAACATGTTTGGAAGCTTCGCCCACCCCGGCCTCGTCGTCTTGCGCCTCCTCTTGCTCCACTTTGCCCTTGCCACTCAGGAAGGCTTCTACTTGCATCACCCTGCGTTCGTCCACCTTGGACACCTCGAATCGGATTTTGTCAGATGCAGTCTCCACCGTGGCGGCTTCACCCACAAGAGGGATGCGGTCGATGGTCATACACATGAAGCCCCCGATGGAGTTGTAGTCCCCCTCGGGCATCTTGATGCCCAGCACCTCCTCCACCTCGTCCTTCTCCGCCAAGCCGGTCATGGAGTAGTGGCCAGGTGCTTTCCTAACACGCAGCGCGAAAGTGCGCCACTGACTTGAGGCACATGGGAAAACAAGTTGACAAGGGCCGCAAAAGTAGCGAGATGCTTTGGCCAGGGTTTGTGCTTGCCGAATGTTGTCACGGTTATATATTTTTGGGGGAGGAGGGGAGGCAAAAGGCTTCGGAGCTGCCGAGTTGCTCCTGGATCTTGGCCCGGTTCTGCTGCCTCTCCACTTGGTCCTTCTCCTCGTCGGGGTCGTAAATCTCGCCTACAATCCTGGGCTCGGGGCTTAGGGTGCGCGGCACGGGAAGGAATTGAATGGAACGCATAGACAAGGCGCTCTTCAAGCACATCTTCCAAAGTGATCAGCCCAGTTGTCCCTCCATATTCGTCCTCGGCATGGCGTTTTTAGGCTTCTGGCCTGGCAGTCTGTGTGAGCATGCCCAGCCGAGCCGCCACGCACACAGCCAGCGTCCGCTCTTTCAACAAACGCAGGGCGGAGATCAAGGACATGGTCTCCTTGGTGAGCACCAATAGCGCGTTCGATTCGAAGCTTTCCAGCCGACCACTTTGATGGAACATGATGGAACCCAAGGCAAGCCACTGGAACAAAGATGGGGATGTCATAGATCTCATGAACTTTGCGAGCGTTGCTGCTGACAACCTCTTCCAAGCAGTTTGCATTCTTCAGCAGGGTCTTCATGCTGACCACACCTCACAGGATACACCAGGTCGCTTCCATGAAGATTGGCCCATCTCGAACTGTGCAGCACTGAGAGCTCCACCTATGATGTTGTCAAATCGCATCTCATAGACGGGTATGCGGCTAAACCTCGAAGCAACAGGCAACAGGCCGTGGACCGCTGTCTTTTTCGCTATCTGCAGAATGGGGGCTGGGTGGACTTGATCAAGTGATGAAGCTTCGAAATGGGCTCCTCAGACTCGATGCAAATCATGTCCACCAAAGGCGTCATGATCTCCTCTCAGCTTCATGGCAATGCTCGGGCTCTCATGACTCTAATCTGGAGGTATTGGCTTGGGCAACTCAAGCGGAGCTGTTGGGTCCGAGAATGCTTCAGTTGCTAGGAGAAAAAGAATGGAAGCAATTGGAAACGTGCGAAGATCCATGGGGCGGTGAAATCGGCCTTGATCCGCTTGCTGTCCAGGTTCCGCACGCTGCGGATCATCTCGCCCTCCTCTGCGTCCACGACGCCGCTCTGCATGGCTGATCGAAAGACCAGGTCCAACTCCTGGTGTTCGGACAGTGGGCTCGGACGGAAGGCGCACTCGCCGGCTCGCCCGTGCCTCTTCAGACACGAAGGGGGTCTTCTTAGTGTCGACTGGCAGGCCAACCATTTTCAGCAGCACCGACACTGCCTGACCGACCGAAGCTTTCAAGAAGGCTATGCTACACTGATTGCACATGCTGCCTGACTGCCCAGCCTCGTTCAACATCTTGCTCGCTGGGTAGACAACCGCGGAAATCCTGCGGATTGCCATGCCCCCCAAAATGGCTAGAGCTTGGCTCGGCCTGTAGAAGGCTGGCAGGGTGGCTTGCGCAAAGGTGTACGGGTTGGAAACTGCCATGCTTTTTGGCAAGATCTCGCCCAGCCTCCGGCCGCGACATGGGTGACATGGGTGACATGGGTAACATGGGTGACATGGGTGACATGGGCGGCATGGTTTCAAGGTCTCGGCGTGAGCTGCACCAGTGTCACTGACACAGTGGCCTTAAGCTTTCAGGGCAAGACAGGATACGACCAGCGAGGTGCGCTGCCGAGCTCCGGGGTCCGGGCGATGCCCAAGCCTCGCGGCCCGAAGAGCTGCCCGCAAATCTCCGTGATGAAGGCGGTACTCACCACACCTGCGGCACGGCACGGCTCGGCACGCGAACGTGGCATGGCAAATGCGCCTGCAACGGTTGCGCCGATGAGAATCGTCTGCATGAAGCGCTGGATGTCTTCTCTGAGCGCAGTCCATTTGCCCAGCTCGACCTGTCGACTTGCAAGCGCTGCGGACGGCGCTTCCCAACAGGGCGCCTGCCTTGGCAGTCACACGCTTGCCGCCCCCCTCGCGCATCTCCCTCACTTTCTGCTCTGCCTGGCGCTTGCCACATTGGCACTGTGCAGGCCATGCAATGCCATTGAACGGCTGCCATTGAACGGCTTGCGCCAACCCTCCCTGGCTCGCTGATCATCTCTAGGATGGACTTAGCTGCCTTGCGCTTTCACGGCTCACGCGCCTTCTCCATCTCACGCTGCGCGTACTCCCGCACCTTCCAGGGCCATAGCGTGGTGATGGCGGTCTCCGTGCCAGCGCAAACGGCGAAGGCCACGAACGCCACGGCCGAGAAGCCGAGGTCCGCAGCCAGCGAGCCGCAGACCCCGCGGTAGCCATGGACGCGCTCTGTAAAGGTCTCGAAGCCACTGGACGATCTCAGCATGAACATCTTGTACGCGGCCACGCACACGGCAAATCCTCAAAACAAACAAATGGATTGCATTGTCATCGTGTGGACATTTGCCGCGCTCCTATCAGCACCACTTTCAGGCTTTGCGTGCGGCTCCGTCTGAATTTCTTTGTCAATCCTGCCCCGGCATAGCACCGGGCACATCCGGGCACAATAAGTTCAGAAACCCGGAGCCTGCTTGCCGGCTTCCGCAAACCAAGGGCCTGGCCGTTGCTTCAGCAGAAGCTCAAGATCCCAAATCCCAACTCTTTTGGCATTGGCGTTGCATGGCCCGCCTGCGGCGCAAAGCTCTCCTGCGGGCAGCAGAGGCTGACAAACCACATTGACCGGGTCCGTGCCTTCTCGACGCTAGCGATGCCAAGGACGTGAGGCATGCCAGGGACGCCATGGACGCCACGGACGCCAGGGACGACGCTGGCGGTGTGAAGGATGAAGTGGCCGCACGGTTCCGGGCGAATGCCACGCTGGCCCGGTCGCACGGGATCTGGGAGCGCTCTGGCAGGGCAGGGCCCGACAGAGCGGTCGCCATGGCTCTGAACGCTGGTGGACTCTATGCAGCTGTCGCTGTGAAACAAGATAGTCTGACTTGCTCTGGCATTGCCCTGGCATTGCCCCTGCGCATGGCCCGCACTGAGCCAACTCGTCTGCGGAGGCGAGTTCTGGTGCTGAGAAGCTCCTTGTCAAGTCGCTTAGACCTCTAACCTGGATGGCGCACCCCCGAGTTGTTGTAGGCTTCAACCACCAACGCCTCCCCCGGCTCTCCAACAGCCTTGGTCATTTGCACGGCTCGGCTCGCCTTTGGACCCACGAATGTGCAGCCCTCTCTCAGACACATTGGTAGTTTGGAACCACAGGCATCCTTTAAATCATGCATCAAAACATCATCAAACTTACCATGCACACTGTGCAAGCATGCAAGCGTGCTAACAGGACGGATGCATCAAACTGTGCCGTCGCAGCTCATCAAACTGTGCCTTCAGGCGTATCTCTCGGCTGAGAAAGAAGGCTCTTGGGGCGATGAGGCTCAGGCCCACTGCGCGACCGCTGTAAGGGAGATTTCTCTGCCTGTCAGCTAATAGGCCATTCCACCATGAGGTGCCCCGTCCGGAAACTTTGACCCTGCCTTTGGCAGATTTCAAATTCTCCTCCAGTGGGCCATGCGCGCACACACACACACACACATCTGGCGGCACTTGAAACCCGGATGCCCATCTTGCCGACCAAAGTCGTGTCACAAAGTGCCCAATCATCGGATCAAACACTGGGCACCCTGGCCATATCCAAACATGTCAGGTTGCAAACATTGACGGCAAATCTAAGTTTGGCTGCACTTCAAGGCGCTGTAAGCTTACATCTCCTTGTTTCTTTGCTTAATCTCTGTTGCTCGCAACGTTTCCATTATCACCTGCTATTCTTGTATATGTCACCTAGCAAATCAATAAACCTTCATATAATTCATATATCTTCATATTCTTCGCAAGTCTTCGCTCGGGGCGCGGGCGTTGAAGCGCAGGGTGGCCCGCAGCAGGGCCGCGGAGCTGGGCAGCGGCTCGAAGGCCAGCGCCTGCGAGAGCTTCTCGCGGCTCGGTGCGAAGCACTCGCATGGATGCGCTGCGCACAACGGTTTCCCCTTACAGAGAACCTCTCCCCCCCCCAAAAAAAAAACAAGGAAACAACAGGAAAAGGAGAAGAAGAGAGGAGAAAGAGAGGAGAAAGAGAGGAGAAAGAGAGGAGAAAGAGAGGAGAAAGAGAGGAGAAGAGGAGAAAGAGAGGAGAAGAGGAGAAAAGAGTCGCGCAAAGAGCCATGCTCGATCCGCAAAGTGGCCGCTCCTGGTAGCCGCTGCGCGCGAGGACCATGGTGCAGCTCCCAAGGTTGGCGCCAACCTTTGCTGACGCCATCCATGGACCCCAACTCCCTTCCAACCGCCAGGGGACATCCAACACCAGGCACTGGGGCGCACCCGTCGCCTGAGCCGTCAAGCTGGCATGCAAGCAGCAAAGCAGCAAAGCCTTAAGTGCGGGCCGGCCTCGACGATGCCGAAGAGCTCGTAACACTCCGGCCACTTGCCTTGCACCGCAACCCGTCGAATGCTTGGCGCTGCGCCTAGCGCCTTGGCGCTTGATAGTGGCGCTGACCAGGTCCGAGTCCGTCCTGCGCAACAAATAGTGAAAAGTGATTGCATGTACTGAGCGTCACGTAGCAAGGCTTATCAATTTATCCACTCAGGAAGCAGTCCTGACGCAAAGCGGGATAGGGGGCACAGGGTCCAGCTTGTCCATCCTCGGCCGCATGTTCCAGGCTTCCATGGGCGTGCCACCACTTGCTTGAAATCAACGAGAGGACAGGGCAACTCCTCCAAAACCATCCCGATTCTCCATCTTCAAGTAGTACTGGTCAAAAACTTCGTGGATCCCATGACGTTGCTTTAAGTAGCGAGTGCTCTGGTGGCTTGGGTGCGGCCAGGCGGCCAGGCCATGATGGACTTCTGTGGGCACGCGTTCAGGCCCAAGAGCGCCATGGACTGGGCCCTCTGCACCTGGCCATTCGGTGCTCCCAGCCCGGGCCGCGGTGCCCGCGGTGCACCCTCCTCTTGGAGGCCAGTGCGGCGCAGGCAGGCACGATAGGGCGCTTTGCATGCCTTCAGCTGCTGCCTCAGATCAACCATATGTCAACCATAACCTATGCAGCCGGAGCTCAGCGCCGTTTGCACTTGAGAAAACCCAATGCTTCGCTCTGGCTTCTTGCCTCCAAGCGGCATGATTTCGTGCAGCTCCGGCACGTCTCGCACCTCTGCGCGCAGCTCCAAGAGGCCTCAGAAGTGACACCAGCTAAAAAAAGCTAGCAGCAGCTAGTAGCAGCCAGTAGCTGGTATGGCAACTTGGCGGCTGCGGCTCAGGCCGCCTTGCGGCTCACGAGGCTCCGCTGGCTCCGCTGGCTCGCGGTCTGCCCCGAGAAGCGCCTGACACGAGGCGCAGGGCTGGGCCCGCGCTGCGCCCGCGCCACCAGCAGTCCAAAGACCGGCCAACCGCCGCAAAGCGCGGCTTCCAGCAGCGCCTGCGCATGACTGACATCTGGAGCTGCGCGAGTCATTTTCTCGGCCTGGTCTGCTTGCATCAGTTGTGCCGCAACGGCTTCGCGCTCCGAGTCAGCCTCACCTCGCGCAGAGCAGAGCCACCTCGATTCAGCCGCACCTCTGGATTCGGGTCCGCTGCCAGGCACTGCCTGACAAAAGTCCACATGACTCGGCTGACTCGGCATGACTCAAGGCTTTGGCGTTCTCATGCGCATCATGCGCCAGTCGCAGGAATTGATGTCCAGGAAAGCCTGGGTCACTGCCGCGGGGCTTGCACCCTGTGCCAGCCTGAGGTGTTGCACATTCAGCGGTTGCTGCCAGTGGGACCTCTCGAGACATCAATCCGATCCCAGGTGAGCCATTTGGACCTTGCCTGAGTGAAAATACGTGTGGCCCAATCGTCAGGGAGGGCAGCCCAAATCCTAGATGGCGACATCTGCTCACCCCTGTACGGGTCAGGTCAGCTGAGCACGCCTGGCAAAACCCGGCCAGGTCAGGTCACCCTCTGCGAGGAGCTCGGCCACAATGGCGTATCTGGATGTGAAGCATGCGCTCACAAATGTGCACTCAACGTTTCCAGCCTCAGCATTTCCCATGGCCTTGCCGGATAGCGCACCAGCAGCCTGCCCTCTGGCCCCACCACCTGTTGATCCTGGCGTCTCGACGGCCCGATGCCATGCGATGCTCCATGACACCATCCTCTTCATCTCCGCAGGCCGGGCCGCACCTGTTGTGAGACTTCGCAGCTCGAGCAGAGCAGAGCCGCGCTGGGGCTACGGCCACTGCAGGTCATGCCCGCGCCCAGTGGCTGCCTGCCCGAGCGCCCACAGCAGCTTGAAGAAGCCCATTGAATCCTATTGGCCATGAGGACGTGAGTCAAAGCAAGTGCTGTGCATAGCTCCGCAGCCCTGACGTCGCCCTTCTGCAGTTCTGGCTCGTATGTAGCCGTTGTTTTCTGAATCAGTGGCTGAGGCTGGAAGTCATGATGCGCAAGGCTTCGAAGGCTTGCTTGTGATGGAAGCTTTCCTCATGGGGAGCTCGAGCCAAGCTGTTTTCTGTGAAGCCCGAACTTTGGCCCCAGTTTGTCCCACGGTCGCGCAAGCAGGCAGCAAGGCACGCAGGATTTCACCTGAATTAGCCGGGCTTTCCAAGACTCAATTCCGAATTCTGCCAGGGAATCCCGGCGCTCAAATTGTCAGAAGGGCAGGCGCCAGGCAAAGGGCAAGGTGCTCTTCGAGAGGAGAGACTCTGGCAAATCCCGGGGCCCTTTGAAGACTGGCGCCCAATGCATCGCCTCCTCGTTGGCCTCGTTGGCCTTGGCGTGTCTCTCCGTCTCGGCCTTCGGGGAGCTGAGGCTGTCGGCCAGGCGCCAGGCCCACGGCAGATTCGTCGGCCCCGCGGGGCGCACGAAGTCGGGGCGCAGGGCCCGCCGCTTCCGCTCCGGACTGGCCATGGCGCTCGAGCCTCCAGATCCGGCCCACGACACGCATGACACATGAGCATGGCGTCCATGGTGGACCATCGTGGTCAAAAGCCACCCGTGGCCGTGGCATGCCCAAGGCCGGCGCATGAGCGGCTTTTTCCACACGAGTTGAAAACGAACAAGCCTTCTGTCGCGCTCATCTTAAGAGCTCACCGAGCCAGCTCCAACCGCTGCCACAACTCCTGCCAACTCCAGATTCATGAGAGCCATCAGCATCTGCCAAAAAGCAAGAGTCGGAAACAGCAAAGCACAATGGAAGCACGCAGCCCACGATCTCAATGTCCTCTTTGTCAATGAACTCCCCGATGTCGTAGTGGCTGGCACCCTTGACCTGTGGTTCAAGGCATTGCAAACCTGCATTTTTGGGCTTAGTGGGAGGGCAGTCAATGATTTTTTTGAGAAAACAATATTGCGGTCTTTAGAAACTGGCCCTTCTATCCAAAACTCAAGAAACAAAGAGAGCAATCCGCCACGCCATGGCGTTAGCCCACTCCCTCAGTTCCAATCATGAGCCTTCCCTCCAAGTGCGGGGCGATGTGCAAATGCGCATTGCCCCCCGCTTCCTGGCAGAACACTCTCCGAGTTGTTTGGATGGCGGCCGTGGCCCACCTTCAGAGATTCCTTGATCCCTCTCAGATACTCCCGGTGGCCTCGTTTTCGCGTTTCTGGCATCTGTCTCAGTGTGAGGCTCGCCAAGTTTCCTCGGGACCCTGCCAAGCTCATCCTGGTCTCCCACGAAAAAACGGATGTCCTTCATATTGCGAAGCGCCTGTGCGAGACGGGGTTGCCAAATATTAAATATGCCATGTGTGCCTGCACTTCACAGAATTGGGGGAGGAAGCCGGTCACTAAGTTCAGCGAGCCCTGTCAGCAACCAAGCCATACCAAGCCTTCAAGCAACCCCGCGACCTGATGCCGAATCTGGGGCTGCGCGCTGTGCGGTCGGGCGCTTTGCAGGCCAAGGACAGCAGAGCGGCAGAGCCTACGCAAATCCAAAAGCAGCTGCTCAGAGGACATGTCAGGCTCCAGCCGTGGCTCATGCCAAGCATGTGGAACACGTTGCCTCCGTGCGCGCACGGTGAGTGTCAATCAGGATTCTGCTAAGGTTGCCGCTCAGGACAGGGAAGGGCACAATCTCCCCATCGCGGTCATCCAGCAAAGCCTGCGGCGTTGGCATTGCGCCGTCTTTGCCCATCCAGCGCCATGTACGGACCTGGAGAAGCTGTTCCAGCATGGTCTGACCGGCCCTGGCCGGCAGAAAGCGAGGAAAGGCACCGCAGGCGCGTGTGAGGCTGCTAAGCCACCGGCGGCTCGATAAAGTCTGTCGCGGCGCCCGAGCGCATTGGAACCAGCCTCAAATGTGCCGCGTGGCTGTGGACTGCCCATACAGTGCGCTAAGGTCCCAAGCGAAACGACTGCTTACAGCTACCCCCAAGCAACCCCCACACATTCACATAATTCGGACACGGAACGTGCTGAGGTTCTTGACCTGTCTCGCACTTGGGTTCGGGCAGCTGCCAGCCGCGCTCCTCTGCCCTCAGGGCGCGGAAGAGCTTGGCCACATGACCTCGCTCGGACACGGAATTTGGGGGAGACGTGCGGCGGCGAAGCGGCGAGGCGGCGAGGCGGCGAGGCGGCGAGGCGGCGAGGCGGCGAGGCGGCGGCGTTGCTCGCCCCGGGAGATCGCCAGGATGGTGGGCAGCGGCCGGCGCTTCGCCTAGCTTTCTCCACGAGCCCCACAGCCCCAAGTCCGGCGCTTGCCTCGGAGGGCGCGATAATGGCCAGCTCCAAGGAACCTGCTTGCACATCCACCTGCAAACAAATGCAAACAGCACGGCCAGCCACAAAGCAAAAGGTCGGACGGTGAAACGGCGCGGGGGCCTTCTTGACGACGAAGGACGAATACTTTCCAGACTTCTCCTCCTCTTGACCTCGTCTTTTTGCTCACACAGCACATTGCGGAGAGTATCACCCTCGGGCACTGGAGCCACGCACCATGCAGCCAGCAGACTAGGCTACATCAGGCATAAGCATTTATGTGTTATGTGTGCCAACTGAGCGTCTTGGAGTTCCAAACCAGAAGCCACCCCGCAATGCCAAAGCAGTCTACTTTTCACCCATCACATTTCAATCCACCATGGCTAGCTTGCATAAAAGAAGAAAGAGCTTCAAAATGGAATCAAGCAAAACCGCTTCCAAAGAAACAGACGGTGGGCAACGATATGTTGCCACTAACAGACTTGAAAGCAAGGATGCATGCAAATGAACACCAAGTCCTTTGAGCAGCATCAACCAGTTCTGTCGCACAGAGTGAATGAAGGTGACTGTGATGCACCACGTCTGCCAGCTCAAACATGGCACATGGCCATTGCCAACATGGCCATCGCGTGCCAGGCTGAACCTCTGGGCTGCAGGGCTCAACCGCGGGCTGGCCCGGCGGCCCTCACGCTGCGCCTGCACCGCACGTGCTTCGTGATGCTTCGTGCATTTGCTTTTGGCTTTTGGCGTGCTTCCGCGCGCCTTGTCGTAGGATTCTTGTGGCGTCAGCACCCGGCGCTCCGCACCTAGGCAACTAGTCGGGCGGCCTGACCTTCTTCTGGGCCTCGCGAGGCTCTGAGACCCCGACCGCCCGGCGCCTCAATCAACAAAAGGCCCCACACCTGGCCTTTAGGCCTTTGGCCTTCAGTTCCCGGCATCATACTTGGGGTTGGTAAGAAAGTCGTTCATGAAAGGTCCTCATGCAGGCGCTGCAGCTTCCTGCTTGCTTTGCAGGTGAGGCGGTCCGATGTCAGTCGGCACTCTGCCCTCATGCGCCACCTGCCGCACATCCAAACAGGAGCATACCAAATTACAACTGGATTGCAGCAGGCGCACCTTGATGTACTCATCGAAAGAGAACAAATTCTCTGCTTTCATCAGCACCTCCAAGGCAACCCCTCAACCCCTTGTGTTGTCGTTGGTTGTGCCTGTTCAAGCTGTCATGTGCTGCACATGGCACTTACAAATGACGGCGCCTTTGTCGATCCATCGCCTAAGATCACCGACCACCTCCTTGGCAGCGCAAGCGTAGTGGTTCAGCAAAAGGAATTCGCTGCATGGAAGGCGTCTGGCCCGCTCTGTTCATCTAGGCGGTCGCAGCGGCCGAGCCTGAAAAACTATTCGCTTGGGAGATATAGGTGTGGGTCAAGAATAGGTACCCGGTAAATGGCAACAAGGACCAAAACCTGCGGTCCCCTGGTGACTTAATTTTGACCCACCCATTTGGAGATACTGGGGCTGGCGCCCGCCGTTGAGCTGCGGCTTGCTCTTGAGGCCGCGGATCCGCACCAACACACCGCGCCGGAGCCCCTGGTCCGGCCTCGACTCGGGCTCAAAAGCGTCCAATGCCCAAGCGCGCTCGAGAGACCAGCGTTGGCACCGTTGGCAAGCCGAGCGCGGCGCGGGGCCATTGCCAGACTCAAGCTGTCTGGAGCCCAAACTGCTGCCACGTGCGCGAACGCGTGCAGTTCCAGCCGCATGAGCCGTGGGACTGCCACTGCTTAGTGGAGCAAATTGCGTCATTTTCACGAGCAACACTTCACTGCTCCAACTGCTTGGGCTCAAGCTGGTGCACAGGCAGTGCCCAAAACGCGCGTCATTGAGACACCAAGAACGGCAATGGTGGAACGATGCTTGCAACAATGACACCATGACTGGGCACTGTATGCGATACAATTGAACGTGTGCGAAGGCAGCATGCTACCCGCCTCTTCAAGGCAATCTGGGTCACAAGTCGCCATAAGATCCTAACACATCTATCTGGCCCCTAAGGCTGGCCGCGGCTGAGGTGAAACTTGCCTTGGCTTTGGCCTTGCCTTTGGCTTTGGCCTTGGGCTCCGGCTTGCGCTCCTCCGCCCCGGCGTCCTTGAGGAGCTTGGCCAGCGCAGGGGTCGCCAAGTCCAGCGGCGCATGGCCGTCTGCAGTGGGGAGGTTGGGGTCCGCCTTCGCGTCCAGCAGCAGCTGCACACAGCCTTTGTGCTTCTTTTGTAGCGCCAGGTGCAAGGCGCTCACGCCCTTGCCGGTGAGTGCATCCACTTCCGCCCGTGCCTCCAACAGCTGCAGGATCGGCCTGTCGCCTTTGCCGCTTTTGTCGCTGTCGTCCGTGTTCTGCACCGCCATAAACAGCGGGGATGTGCCGTCCTCCCGTGCCACGCTCGGGTTCGCCCGGCTGGCCAGCAGCAGCTGCAGCGCCTCGCCGCTGCCAAACTGGGCAGCGATGAACGTGGCGCTGGCGCCGTCCCGCTTGGTGTGGTCCACGTCTGCCCTCGCCGCCACCAGCAGCTGCAACGCCTCAAATTGTCAAAGCACAAGGCTAGACTTCATGGATCAGGGCAAACCCCTTGTCCTTGGCCCGTTCCGTCCTCCACGTGGTTCTTCATGGCGGCCGCGTAGGCGGCGCTGGCACCATCGCTGATGCTCTCGTTCAGGGCATCCGGAAACCCGTCAAGCAGCAGCTTCAACTCCTTCTGGTCGTCCTGCAACGCCGCCCGGTACAGCGCCCCCGCTGCGAACATCCGCCGCACCCGGGCATTCATCGAGTCGAAGGCCTCGCATGTCTCTGGCGGGGCTTCAGACCACGCCTCCTGCAGGGATTCAAGCGGCATTAGCAGCAGTTGCGCATCGAGTGCGTCATCTGCGCTGTTCAGAGAGCAGTCTGCAGGGAAGCCACCCTCTCATCTTTGCATCTGAATGTTCGTAACATTTATCCCATTTGTACATGCGCCATGTCCGGGCATATTGCCACATTGCCCAGCGTTCCGTCCTCCGGGGTGCCGGCGATAAGGTGCAAGATCTTCTGCTTGTCCTCTGGGCGGGAGGACTTGGCCTTGCGGATGTCCACCTCCACGCCCTTGACCGCCACCAGCAGCGGGAAGGCTCCCCCAGTGCTCTCCTCCTCCACTGCCTCCCGCACCTGGACAAGCATTGGACGCCTCAGTGGCCTGTGACCTGTAACATGATATGCTGCGCGGGCCTCGTGCCATCGCGGGTGCTGCGCACCAAGAGCAGTGAATAAGCATGAGTGATGGAGACACTGAAATGAAAGCTCTGGCAAACACGAGAAAGTGCCGCAGCAATGTGGCAAGAAATCTTGGCAGCACCCATGTGGCAAGAGCCCTAACAGCGGCAATGTGGCAAGACAGCCTGGTGGCAAGAACCCCTGGCAACAGCAGAGTGTGGCAAGAACCCCTGGCAACAGCAGAGTGTGGCCAGAAACTATGGAAGCGGCAATGCGGCCAGAAACCCTGACAGTGTGGCAAGAAATCCTGGCAGCCTCCCCATCCCCATGGGGGGATACGTTGTCTGTTGGTGTGGCTGGTGGGAATTCCTCACCTGGTCGCCCAGGTCGAGGCGGAGCGTGGGCTTCTCAGGCACCGGCTGCCCACCGTGCAGAGCGATGTTCGCAGGCAGCCACGCGGCGATGTCGTAGCGGTGGCTCTTCGCCTCGCGCGCCCACTCGGTGCTCACGAAGTTCTCCAGCACGCACCACACCTCACAACTTTCAGGGAGCACAAAGCAACCAAAGGGATGAACGTTCGCATGGAAGTATGCTAAGTATAAGGCAACAGAACAAAAGGAAACGAGTCTGGAGGCCCCGAGTCCCGAGGTTTCACGAGCGGATCCGAGTGACCCGATCAAAGGTGGTGACCTGAGAGTCCAGAAGCGCCAGCGTGCCGACGCATCCCTCGCTCAAAATGGCCTGCACGAAGGGCGTCGAGCGGAGGCCGCCGGAGAGGCTCGACAGGTCGTGCTGGTTGTTGGCGAAGGTGCCTCACAGGCGATGGGACCGCGGGGGCAGAGTTGCCGCTCCGACACCGAAGCAGACCGGCCCGCGTAGCCGGACAAAGATTCAGTCTTTGTAGCTCTGTTTGGGACCTTGGAGTTTGCGAACGCATGGGGGCAGAGGTGGGTTCTCGTTGAGATGCGCAGAGCTGTCACACTGCAAAGCTTCCGTGGTGTTTGGCTGCTGTCTTCTAGGGGTACTTCTTGGCAGTTCAGCTGCATCTTTGCGTACGTATGCGGTGCAAGGATCCTGCTCCGGTGCCTAACTAAGCAAACTCCAAGACGCGCAGATTCCCTTCCGGGAATTCGTCGGCTCGTTGCTTTTGTTCGGGCTAGCTTTGTTTCCCTGAGGGTCCCCGGCCGCAGGTGCGACTTGAAAGACTGAAGCTCGCGGGATGACGGGTTAGGTTGGGAGGCCAGCAATTTGGCTCGCATCTCGACTGGACTTGGCGTGATTGACGAGACCCATCGCGAGCTCTCAGAATTTCGCTCGACTCGAGGCTCGGGGCACAGATCCAATATGCCGCGGCTGGCGAGAGCTCCCGCTCCAAGGCATGGAAGGCGATCAGCGAGGCAGTCTGCCGGAAGGGCGTGCCCCACCAGTGGCTGACAAACCACAGGGGCTCCTGGGGCCCAGCGGCCACCAATTCCACGAAGGAGCACCGGAAGCGCAGCGTCAAAGGCTTTACCAAGGCCTTGCAAATCGTGTACAAATTCACCTCCTCCCAATCGAACACTTGGAGCGCCGCCAACTCCTCAACGTAGCTGGCCAGCTCCTGCACACTTCGGACCAGATGCGTCTGTAAAGAGCACCCGGCAATCCACTCGACCCCTCCCGAATCCCTCGTGGCCTGGATCTGGGCCAGCGTGATGGCGCGCCGGTGCTCCCCGGCAATCTCTGCGCCGAGGGACTCGTAGGACTTGGGAACGCCCAGCTTTGTGGCCCAGTCCATGCCCTCGATCTCCAGGCACCTAAGATCCCCAACGCCCCATCCAAGCCTATGAGGAAAACGGGCATTACTGCATTTCATCCTTGCACATGACATGCAATACATTCTCCACGCTTTGCACCAAGAACATGCGCACACAATCACTCCCACATAGAAATACTGAGCGCCGCACACTTTGGCAGTTCGAAGGCTCCGGGCGGCATCTGCGCCGCTGCCCGCCGCCGCGGCTCGAGGGGCCTCTCGCGGCGCCGCTTTGGCGGCCGTCTTCGCCTTGGGCGCCATGGCCGGATAGCCGGAGCGAGCGAGCCTCGTGGCCTCCTGGCCGCTCGAGCCGCGGGTGCATGCCGAATTGCAGCTCGCGCCGTGAGATGATCTACGCCGCACGTCTCGTGCGTGGATGGACTCTTTCTTGGCTATGCCTTCAGTCCCTGACTCTTGCAGGTCTGATCTCTGCCGAAAGGGGGGGCGAAGTTGCAAGGATGGATGCCAGCTCAGCCCAGTGGTCGCGGCCAAATCCACCGTCCTCGCAGCTGTGGGAATAAAACATTGGAATGCACTCTGCATGCGCCCGTGTCCGGCTCCTGTAGTTCTATCTGAACAGGCCCTGCTAGCTCTGCCTGGCAAGCGAGGGGCGTCCACGTAGGGAACCTCATCCTTAGCCCTAGCACAGCGTTTGTTCCAATCCGCGGCATGCCGCCAGGCGCTACGGGACTCGAAGGCAACAAGCCGAAGGAGAGAAAAAGGAACCAAACATCGACGATGGGACTCGTTCGCACGCACCATGCTTCACCCATTCCCACATCCATACATCCCGGCCGCCCGGCCTGCATGACAGGCCTCACCTGGGAAAGACGTTGCGAACCCCCGGCTTGCACCGTGACCTGTTCTTCTTCTTTTTTTGCATTTCGTGCAGTTCGTGCAGTTCGTGCCTGGGGGACGTAGGGCTCCACAGGCGCCAGTCCAGGCCCGGGCTGCCCAGGCCCGGGCTGCCCGGGCGGCCCGGGAGCCGTCGCGGGCGCGGGCTGTGCGTGGAAGGTGGCCTCGGCCCTCGGCATCTGCACCTGGCGCATTGACCTTTTCTTTCATCTTTCATCATGGTTCATCTTTGTTTTCGTCTTTCTTCTTTTTTTCTCCAGCTTCACGGCTTCACGTCGCCTGGAAGCTGGGCGTGAACCTCCACATGTCCTCCTGGGCCTCAGGGGCCTGAGGGGCCTCACGCCATTGAAAGCCCGCATGAGGCCTATTGCAGTGACTGATAGTGACGGAGGGCCCACCTGGAATGGCGCCGGTGTGCCAAATGAACCGAGCGGTGAACCGAGCGGTGAACCTGGGCTTCTCTCGGATCTCTCTCCGATATGACACACTGCGACCTGCCTGTGCGCTGGGAGAACGCCATGTCACCGTGCGGCTGGAACTGGTTGGGTTGGAACTGAGGCCTGAGGTCCGCAAGGAATGACTGGCCAAGCCACCTGCGGACAAAATCATCGCAGCCCTTCCTGTCTTTCGCCCTCACGCGATCTTGCTTCTTGGAATGAAGCGAGAGCTCCCCTCAAAGGCGTGGCTTGAAAGCCAGAACTGATCTTTGCAATTGCGTGGGAGAGCTTCGGCGCATTTGTGGGGTGCTGACGCTGAGATACAAACGGCCTTTGCTTCACTCACTGGCTTCGCCCGGAGTGGAGCAACGACTGCGAAATCTGGCCAAAACGGCAAGCTGCAAAAGTCGGCCAGAAAACAGGTAGGGCCACTGGGCCCTGCCTGGTGCGCCAGGCTGGGGAAGAAAGCCCGAGGCAAAAAAGGGCCCCGTTGTGGGGCCAAGGGAGGGGCCCTACACAGTGAGCTCAATGGCTCAGCCCCGGTCGAATTGCTGCACAGCATGCTTGCATAAATTCCGGACTTGCAAGTCCAAAGCTCAGTATCCCTTCTTGCCTGCTGCAAGACCTTGACAGAACCCAGGCCCGTGCTAAAGGTCTGACATGAGAAAAGCCCCCCTCACTCAACACACCTCATACTCGAACGCACTTCCAGACTGGGCAGTGAGCGGGCCCGGGCAGCCTCCACGTCCTGCTGAAAGAGCGGCCAATCGAGCTGGGGATCCATCCAAGTGATGTCCTGTGAGGTGCAAGTTGCTTCATTTCTTTCATTCATGCCTTCGAGGCAACAGGCTATGAGTCCTCGGGGGCAGGCAGTGGCTCATGTGGGAACTCGTCGAAGTGGGAGGCGTCCGCCGCACCGTTGCACTTGGGCTGATAGGGCGGCGTCATGTCCTGGGAATCCAAGCACAGTGCATCGGGTCGAGATTTAATTTGGGATGTTTTTTTGTTTTATTTTTGGATTTTTTTTGTTTTCCGTCCTGGCTAATAAAATGCTGTAATTTACAGCATTTTCTCGCGAAAATGTACGTATTTTACGCGTCCGTCAACATCATCAGCATCGTTTTCAACATCCCCCGCATGTCCAGCCAACATCCCCAGCATCACCAGCAAATTGGCTTCCCGCATCTCATGGTAAAAATGAGGATTCAATTAAAGGCGCGGGGGGGTTGGGGGGGGCGGCAGCCCCCCTTGGGGGGGGCGGCAGCCCCCCCATGATGATCAAAAAATTAGGGGCAAAGAATCTAAAAAGTAGCGGTCGCATGATGATCGAAAAAGTGATGATTCAATTAGGGGCAAAAAGTCCAAAAATAGCGGGGGGTTGGGGGGGGCGGCAGCCCCCCCCACGATGATTGAAAAAGTGATGATTCAATTAGGCCCCCAAAAAATACTAAAAAAGCAGCGGGGGGGTCATCAGTTCCTCTGCGGCAAGGCCTCATGGTACAAGTGCGGATTCAAATACGGGCAAACTAATCCCTGTAGATCGAAAAAGTGATGATTCAATCAGGGGCAAAAAGTCTAAAAAATAGCGGGGGGGTTGGGGGGGGCGGCAGCCCCCCCCATGATGATCGAAAAATTAGGGGCAAAGAATCTAAAAAGTAGCGGTCGCATGATGATCGAAAAAGTGATGATTCAATTAGGGGCAAAAAGTCCAAAAAATAGCGGGGGGTTGGGGGGGGCGGCAGGCATGATTCAATTAGGGCCAAAAACATATAAAAAAAGCAGCGGGGGGGTCATCAGTTCCTCTGCGGCAAGGCCTCATGGTACAAGTGAGGATTCAATCACGGGCAAACTAATCCCTGTAAAACACCTAAAACGTAGCGGGGGGGGGGGGTGAGGCTCACTGCCGGGGTGCCTATCCCCGAAGGGAACTGGTACCCTTGTGGTAGTTGAGGTCGTTGATGTGGTCCCTAGATCTATTCCGGAGAGAGTCCAATATGCCAATATGGATGATTGGAGGATGGATTGTCCCTGGTGGATTGTATTGTGATATAATCCTGTAAGCGGCCTGCAAAGGTTCCTTTCTCTCACGCGATCATGAGTGTGCTATGATACACAAAAAGGGCCTTGAGCCAAATGGTTGCAGGAGATCAATTGTGCAACAAACCAAACACAAAACAGACACAAATTTCTTTTGATCTCCAGCACTAAGTATGAAATACTCTTGGCTTCATGGCCTTTGGCCGTAGCCTTGTTTCTTGCCGTAGCCGTGTTTCTTGAAATACTACATTCATCCTATTTTCTGCGCGGATGAAATGTCTTGATCTGCAAAATGGAAAACAGTCTGTACTGATTCTCTGAGATACCTAGATGTATCGAAAGGTGATGTACAACGCTATGTACATGCGGGACAAATGTGAAACTATTGATCTCTCACTGAATAGTCTTGTTGGCGGTGAGGATCAATCTGGTTGTAGTTCGTAGTGCTGAACGTATGAGTCTTCTCGGTCAATCGGATGGATGCCAAAGGTGGCTTTTCATTTGTACCACCGACGGCTGCTGTCGGATTGACTGCCATAGTCTCCATAATCATTCCAGGTCGAGTCGCCATAGTCCTTCCAATGCTTCTGATATCCCCACTGCTTGTTGTAGTCCTTGTACTCGTGCGGGATCCAGGATTGCTTCTTCTGGTTGTACTCCTTGCTTCTCTCATAGTTGCGTTTCCTTGCTGCAAATTTGCTGCGGATGTAAACCATGAGGGGACTGTGCGAATCGGAATCCTGTGAGCCATTCATGAACATGTCGTTGTTCACGTGCTTGAAGCGCTCTGCGGATGAGACCTGATAGTCGAAGATGGCCTTTGCTGGATTGTTCCGCATGGCTTCCAGTTGTTCATCATTCATGGCGTTCATCTCTTCATTCCGGAAAACCTGCTGGATGTTCGTCTTGCCCCATCCAAACACGAATGTCATCATCACATCTGGGAATGTTCGATCATACCCTGATCCGCATTTCATGTGCAGGTGATGACGGAGGATGGATTTGAGGGTGCACGAAGTCTCCATTGCATACTCCATTCTGTCCACGAGTGGCATGTTGCTGGTTTCATTCCATAGCTTCTGGTATGCCTTCATGAGGATGTTCATGAGACCGTTTGCCGGATTGTAAACCTGCTGGAGCTTGCTGGTTAACGTGCTTGATGGGATCGAAGCATTCCAGGAGGAATTCAATAGGTCGAGTGGCTCGAATGTACAGCCTGTTCGCCCTACGCCCAATGCAGCTTCCTTTTTCACCGTGGACAACACGAGTCCGTGTCCATGATGGCATCAAGTTCCAATCACAACAACACCGTCAGCAATGCTACTGATGTTGAGTCAATGTCTGAGTCTAGAGCGTCCAATGCGACTGATTTGCATGATGTTATCATTGCCGATCTGAAGCCTGAAGTTCCTATGCGAACTGATAGGCCAGTAGTTCCCAAATTGTGACACAGGGTCTAGGCATGCCACAGCCCTCAGCTGTTCGTGATGCTAGAAGATCTGCACCGTACCAGAGTCAGTCTCCTAATCGGAGCGAGTTCCCGCGGCCATCAACGGCCGTACAAGATGATTTCAGGACACCTCCGAGATCTAATCCGATCATGATTGATTTGTCCACTCCTCGAGATCGTGGATCAGGAAATGGTCCTACGAATGAGGAGCAACCCAACGAGGTTGCTGATCTTGTCACAGCCCTTGAAAGAGGGAAAGTGGACTCTTCGGTAAGTGCGATCATTCATCGCCTGGTTGCTAAGGTCGAAGACCTTGGGCGTAGGAATGATAGAAGTGATCAATGCATCAAGCAGCTCTCCACTGAGGTTAGCTCGTGGAGGGCCAAATATGACCAATGCGTCCATGTGAGTAGCACGTGTACGCAGGGTACAATGTCACGAGCGGCATGATTTCCTTCTGAAAGTCGTCCCGTGCTGCTCCATGGCTGATTGATGGATGGATGTGGAAAACTCCAATGGTAGCAAACGGGAGGTCTGCCCTCGTCACGTGGCGGTCGTCAAACTCGAGGAGTGACTTGTTGGATGATTTCGGGAGCATGCCTCGAAACTCATCACTCTGCTCGATTTGGAGAACGATAATCTCTTTTTCTCGTCCGTATCCTTGGACAATGGTGCGTGGTGGCAATTTCGATCCAATGTACTTTTTGGATTCAGAGAACATGGATGTTCCCGTGGTTGCCAAGCAGTCCGAGGTCGGAATTTCGTATTCGGGATCAGTGCAGTTTTCCTCTGTGCCGAAGAAGCATCTGAACATTCCGAATGTGGTTCCCCAATTCTGACTCCTGGTGGAAATGTACCTTGCCAGTAGTTCCACTCTTGCGGATGGTCCGCCGCGGACAAAGCATGCGATTGGTCTGGATGACCATTGCTTGATCACAATGCCCTTGTATCCGAATCGGATGAACATCTTGATGAGCTCTCTGGATTTCTCATCATTAGGACTGAAGAATGCGTCTGCTTCATTCAAGCATAAGATGCGCGCACTGCTCTGCATCATCATCTTCATGATTGGTCGATCCTTCATCGGCATGTTGTACACCTCCCTGTTGCCAAGCTTTGGATTCCTCGTGAGGTTTCCGTGGTTCATGGTAAGCATGTTGAGCGTCAGGGATGAGGTGAACGCATGCGTTTTGAGATGGTCCTCAGGTGAACGGTCGGTCGGCTTCATCAGCGATCCCAGGATATCGGCATATGCTCGGATGAGCTCTGGGTCGTCATTTGACTTAAGCTTTTTCAATCCCAGCGGAAGCTTGATGGGATAGCCGGAAAATGGCTGTGCCTGCCGGTACTCGTCCATGGTGGGACATTCTCCTTGATGATCGAAGTAGAATTCTTCTTCTCCGAGATTGACGTCTGGATCGACGTGTGCCAGTGAGGCTCTCTCGCATTCTGTCAACATAGGATGAGCTTTTCTTGGATCCTTGGTGCGCTGGTCCAGAAAACGGCGGAGGTTCTCCTTGGTTTCCGCGAGCTCGTCCTCGGCGTCCTTTTTGTTCATTTCTATTTCGAGGTAGATTTCCTTGAATTCATTGATGAACTCGTCTAGGTTCTCGGTGTTGTGATACTCCATGGTGAC